ATACAGTATTAAGTAACAATAGGTACCTAACTTAAAATTCTTATGTTACCTCTTAAATTATACCTACTAAGCCACTAAGGTATAATAAATAATAAATGATCGGATTTATTAATGTTAATAATTAATCATTTCTGTACCTAATTTAAAGTTTTAATAACACCTAAATATTAATAAAGAATTTAATTTTGTCAAAAATTGAAATTAATACTTGTTTTATTTTATTTATATATGATTGTATGAACTTGCATAAATTTAGTTTGATAAGTGATAACCAAATTATTATAACTACATAACAAACTAACAAATAAAGTTGATTGGATTAATTGCTTACTGCATGTCAGTGACTAACATTGTGTGTAGTACGAAATGCCAAGTGTGCAATACGAAATTAAAAAACGTGTAATGCTTTTTTTACAGTTTTCTTCATTAATTAAAAAATTATTGTTGGGAAATTGATAGATAAGAATTTAATGGATACCCCAGTAATAACTTTTATCTAAATCTGTGGTATATACCATCTATGTTATCAATATTTTGATTATTATATTATCATCTATAAATATTGCTATTTTTAGAATTGTTATTACATTGCCATTGATGAGTATACAATACCTATTATAGTAGTTTAACATATACTTAGATATTGATTTTTAAAATAAAACTCAAGTTCAGTTATTATTATGGGTTATAAATCATAGGGTTTGAATTTATTTTATACTGTTACTGTTATAACAGTAATGACCAATTACCACGTTCACGGACAGTTACTGCTATAGCAGTAGTTTCAATTTTTTTCAATTTTTATGTAATTGGTCACTACTGCTATAACAGTAATTTACAAAACCAACGAAATCGGGCATTACTGCTCATACAGTACTGTTTTCAATGGTATTATATGAAACTAGAAATAAGATTGACCCATTACGCATACTCATATATTTGGGCACGTAACATTATCACACAATAATATTATTCCAAATATGACATGTTCTATTTTTATACTTTCTGGTGGAATTTTTGTTTTTATGTTGATATGGATGTTGTTTGTTTTGATATTATTATTATTATTTTATTATGATATTATTATTGAAACGTTTAAGGTACGTTTTCCCTGCAGCGTCCAGACGCAGGGTCCAAACGCAGAAAATCGAGCCGCCTAGACGCAGCGTCAAGACACAACGTACGCCCGTTTTCTCTGCATGCGTCTAGACGCAGTATTTTTTGTATTTTTGATCAAATTACATTCACCGAAATTCAATCATAGTGCTTACGACCGTGATCTAATACACACGTAGGTTTCATCACCTTCGTCATGATGCAACGACAATTAATTTTGAATAATAACCTTATGATTTGCGAGATTCTCAGACAAGAGGCAGCATTTGAAGATGAATTACTTTTAAGGATGATTCCCAAACCGAGAAATGCACCCAACAGCATAATAACTACTAGGGAAACCGAAGGATTTTTTAAAAACTGATTGAAGGACATCTTTTTAATAAATAAGTTAAATTTCGAGAATTTTTCCGTGTAAATAGGGAACAATTTCATTTCATTTTGTCATTGATCAAAGATGATCTTACAAAAGAGCCAACTATGCGTCTATGCGAGTACCTGTACCTATAGCTCCCGACGAAAAATTGGCAATAACTTTAAGGTAAGCATATTAAGAAACATTATTTAAGAATTCGTATTTATCATTGTATTTTTTCATTGCATACAAAATTTAACACAAAATGACCTACTCTATGACCGAGGTTTATTAATTTTGTAAATAAGAATAAAATCGTTAAGATATGAATATTATTATTATCATCTTATTATTAAGAAGGAAAACTCTGACTTTTTTAAAAGCTGAATTTTGTTCAAAGTATGTTATTTTCAAATTCATTCCGTGACCCTAACCTAATATATTTTTTAAAACTTATGTTCCAGATTTTTGGCTACAGATGAATCTTTTCGGTCTTTGTCGTTTTCTTTCCGAATTTCTTACAGCTATATTAGCGTAAGAGTGAAAGAAACGTTGGCAGCATTAAAAAAAATGTTAATGCCATTATTTTTGTCAAATCACAATACTATCGACTATAAAGTTAAAGCTAATGAATTTTACACGAAATGGAACTTTCCAAACTGCATTCTTGCGATTGACGGAAAACACGTAAGAATCCGATGCCCTAATAATTCAGGCTCTTTGTATTTTAATTACAAAGGTTATTTTTCTATTGTATTAATGGCAATGGTTGACTCGAACTACAAATTTATTGCGATCGATGTTGGCTCGTTTGGAAGAGTAGGAGATAGCGGAATATTTTTAAAATCTAATATGGGACAGCAAATTTTAAATTGTACGTTCAAATTTCCACAGGATTGAGCACTTCCCAATAGATATTTAGTAGTACCTCATGTAATACTTGGCGATCAAGCATTCAGATTACATAAACACATATTACGACCATTTTCACAAAAATCAGCTAGAGGGGATAGTGGAAAAACTATATTTAATTATCGTCTCAGTCGTGCTAGACGAGTGACAGAAAATGCATTTGGTCTGTTGAGCCAAATATTTAGAGTGTTCTACCAACCAATAAATATCAACCCAAATACATGCGATGACTTAATAATTGTAACATGTTGTTTACACAACATGTAACGAGATGCCTACTTGGAAAAAAATGGAAAAATTTACTATCAATTTGACTCACAACAACCTAATCCTGAGTCCTGACGGAAACATGACGCCCTTGGAACACGAAAGGGGCTTTTTGAGTACAGAAGGACTTGCTGTAAGAGACATTTTCAAACATTACTTCGTAAATGAAGGAGCAGTACAGTGGCAAACATGAATAGTACTCGTACAAACTAAAATAATAATATTTTTCAGTTTTAGCACATTTATTTTATTTTTTAAATATTATTTTTGATTAATATTATGTTTATAATTTAATGCATTCATATCATACTTTTAATCAAAATTAATATAGTGTTCTGATATCCATAAAATATACCTATACGTTATTTGTATTATGTTTAGCTACATCCTGTGGGGTTCTTAACAATGAATAATATGTAATATGAATATAAAAATAAAATTATATTTAGTTTCAATTAGCAATACGGACGGAAGGAGTCAACAAAATCCATATGTTCTATATGAATCTATGTGTAAATTTATACGTTTTTGGTTTTTCTGTGATCAATTATAATAATCTTTAAATATCTTAAATTGATATTGACCACAATTTAGATTTTATCGTTATCGCTGGAAATAATTTGTTTTATATTTGGAACAAATACTCTAAAATATATATTATAAATAATCTTTTGGTTTATTGAAAATGAAAGTATGAACATATTTTAAAATACACTTGGGTATCAACTAGTTATAGTTTGAAAATTATTAATTATTAAAATTCATAACAAAATTAACAAAATAAAAGTAATTTCCAATATATCGTAAATCTAATCGTAAAAATAAAAATAAAAATAGTCAACTTCTAAAATGATTAAAAAAATATTATTAATTAATATTAATGATATCGAAAGAAAAAATTAGTTAATTCTCATCTTCATAATTTTGCGTCTTGAATAGTTCAAATCCATGCGATGATGACGAAGTGGATGGCGAAGGACTTGGTTGCGCCACGTGACTCTGTTGAGATGGAAATTGATAATCGAAATATTGGGGCTGATATACTTGAGGTTGTGATCCAAATTGTGGTTGAAAGTTAGAATATTTATCTTCCAAGTTGCTGACAAGAGTTAAGATTTGCAGCTTTGCTTCGTTTATGGCACGCGGTGGTAGTTTTTTTACGGTCGTCGAAATACTTTTAAAAAACAGATCTACACTATTCTCGACATGCTGATTACCAATACTTGAGACTAAAATCTCATTTTGTGTCTGGATTTTAGATGGTAAATTATCCGTTTCTTTTGATCCTTTTGATAATATTGCACTTATTTTATCCTCTTTGGACCTAATCCGTTTTCCTGCGTACGATGATATTGATGGTAAATCTGACCATGTATTTGGAGATTCGAATGTATCCTCGTCGTTTAGCGTATGATTTTGTGTGTCATCGCCGTCTTCAGCAGTTGAAAAAGAATTATCATTTTCTTGATTTTTGACTTTTGATGTAGTCCTTTAATTTTTAAACTTTAATTTCAGTACATTATTAATAATTAAAAAACAATTTTCATTACTTTCTCTCGTATTCAACTGAATCCATAAACGACAAGTATGACAGTGTCCTATTCACTTTTTCAGAAGTTGCTGACCCAGTCGACAGTTTTTTTTCTGTTTCATGTATCTCTAATGTTCCTCCACCTTTTTTTGCAGTCTTCATCTATAAAATATTAAACTACTTAGGTATACTATTAACTAATAAATAATTAATTACTAAACTATTTAAGTATTTAAACTTCCATAATTTAAAAGTTTATAATAATGACAATTATATAATCATAATTTGTATTTAAAATAAAGTAGTATTTAGTAATTACATTCAATATGATTTTAGTGATCTAATTAATACATAATCATAAAATTATATTAAGTACATACCTGTTCTACCTACTTTTTCAGAAATAATTTTCCAAATTTTTTCTTTAAAATGAATATCTTTATGCTTAGGATGAGCACTGTCAAAAATTTCCCTATTTTGTTGGACATATTCAATTAAAATTTCATCCTCAGTTGATTTTTTCGACATTATCAAGCTTTTGACGCAAGAGGTCCGTACGCGACACTAGTCCAGACTAGTACTGCGTCCGGACGCATAGCGACATTTACCGACGCGCTGCGTTGTACGCAGGTAGAAAAACGGTCAAATATAAAATACATGTAACTAGTGACATTGAGTCTGACGCTGTGTCTGGACGCTTCAGGGAAAACGTACCCGACGGAAAACGATTACGGAATAACAATTTAGTCGTATTTTGGACGCCAGACAAAGCGTACGTCATTATTTTCGTGTTAATTATTTACTGTGTTATAATTTAAAATGGCTAATAGTTCTAAAAAAGCTATTGAAGAGTTTTTAGATGAAAGTTTTGAGGATGAATCAGACATATCGAATGTGTATGATTCTGATGCCGACCCGGAATATCGACCAGGTGAGAATAATACTAATATTAATTTTGCTGGGCCATCACAAAGCTTAGAATTAACAAGTGCAGACGATCCATCAGCTGATGAATCGTTTTCCGAAAGCTCATGTGATAGCAGGGATGATGAACCTATTGATAATAGTAATTTATGGGTGAACAATTATTTAGACATTCCAGACTTTGGTTTTAATAGTGATTCGATAGGAATAAAATTAGAAATTAATGAAAGTGCTCGTAATAATCCAATTGAAATTTTTAAACAAATTTGGACCGACGAAATAACTGAAATATTTGTATCTTCTATTAATAAATATGGTGAAAATATGAGTCTCCAATGTCGTCCTCACAATAAAGGAAGTAGAAATACACATTTTTAAGCGAATAACCTCTGAAGAAGTACAAAATTTTTTGGCAGTGTGTTTGCTTGGAGGTTTCATATAATTTTCGGTTGTTAGAGATATGTTCTCTAACAACCCATTATATTATCATCCTATTGCTGGTCACATTATGTCAGGACGGAGATTTGAGAAATTATGTAGATGTTTTAGTGTAAAATATGCAAATGATACAAATCCATTAGTAGGCCCCATGAAAAAACTTTATCCAGTATTTGACATGTTAATTCAAAACTTTCAAAAGTCATATTTTCCCGATGAAAATCTATCATTGGACGAGTCATTGTTATTACATCGAGGTAGATTAGTATGGCGAAAATATAGAAAAGGAAAAAAGGCTAAATATGGTATAAAATTCTACGAACTATGTACTCATGATGGTTACGTTTTGAATGTCGATATGTACAAAGGCAAACAAACATCGTCAGCAGTTGAGGAGGGAGTATCAAAAGTTGACAATATCGTCTTAACCCTTATGAAACCGTTTTTAAATAAAGGGCACAGCCTTTACATGGACAATTTTTATAATAGTGTGACTTTAACAAATATTCTATTAGAAAAAAAAACCCATACAACTGGTACTCTAAGGTCCAATCGCAGAGGAAACCCAAAGGAAGTAACCACTAAAAAATTAAAACGTGGTGATCATATTTGGAGACGCAACAAAAATGTTTACGTATCCAAATGGAGAGATAAACGCGATGTATTATGTTTAACTACTAAAAATCATCCAAAAATTATACCTTCAAAAACAAATACGGCATACTCAAAAATAAACCAGCAGAAATAGTGGACTATAACAACTGCATGAGTGGCATTGACCGCAGTGATCAAATGGTCAGCTATTACTCATCTCCAAGAAAATCGGCTAGATGGTATAAGAAAGTATTATACCATATGTTAGACATTACTACATGGAATTCATATTTTATTTACAAAAAACATTTTAACACAAATTTAATTTTAAAAAAAAACGAAAACTCAAGCGCCTGAAAACAATCACTACGCAGAAAAAATTCCAGTACCAAAAAATTATAAAAGACAAACATACTTTAAAAATTGCATTCAGCGTTACAAAACTAGAATACGAAAACAAACATCATTTCAATGTAAAGTCTGTGGTAAACCTCTTTGTCCTGGGAAATGTTTTGAAGAATGGCACAATCATAATCAATGAGAAATAATTATTTGTTTAAATTCACTTATGATATCATTATTTATTTATTTATTTAATTTATATTTAATAATATTATGTTTTAAATTAATGTGTATCATGAATCAAGTTGAAATCATGCAATACAATTTTTTTTCTTTTTATACTTTATGATAAGACTAATAAGTAATAACTATCACTTATCACTTATATCAGTTAACTAGTGTATGATTCAAGACCGTATTTTAATTGATATTTAATCTGCTTTATTCATTATTGGGCATTGGCACTGAAAATTTAAGCATAAGAACGAGCCTTAAAATGTCAATAATGCATAAGTGGCTAATAAAAAAAGAAAAGAAAATTGACCCAGTTACATCTACACGTCTACAAGTTACACAGACTAAAGGTAATAAATTAATAAATTATGAAAGCCTTAAGCCATTAATGCAAATTGTATTCAAGAATTATAATAATAATAATTTAAATATAAATTGTTAATATTTTCATCAGTTTATTTTATTAAGATTAATTATTATTAATTCAGTAGAATTAGTATTGTAGCTTGAATTTGATTATGTGCATTGTGCGTTATATTTTTTAGATGATGTTTGTTTTGAAATTATTACTAATGAGGAAAACAAATGGTGATGGAAATGGATCTTTTAATGTGGCAAATAAATTTAGTTCCGTTAACCATAGTAATGATGATAAAGTACTAGTTCCATCAGTCTGGTCTTCGTACTAAAGAAGTAAAAAAAAATTGCAGATGAGAACGAAAGTATTTTGAAGTCCGTTGGACTGAATTTACCTATAAATTGTTTTATGGAATTATAAAAAGCTGGTACATTTTAGTATGTTATTTTAATAAGAAAAAAGAAGAAGGCATAGTCAAAGAAAAATCGGTATCAGCTGGATTCTTAAAATTGTTGACTGATTTTAATAAGTTAAAACTCTTATGTTTTCTAACAGATCTGGGTTATATCTATGGACGATTTCAAAAACAAATTCAATCAGATGAGACCTTAATTTTTGATGTGGAATACAAAAGAGATGGTGTTATACATATTATTAGTCAAATGAAATAATCACCATTTGTTGGAGGTTAGGAAGATACTATTATTAACACTACAGATGTGTCATATTTTTCTAACAATGAAAAAGATACAACAACGTATATGCTTCAAGGGTTCCAGCTGTTCGACTATGTTTCAAATTCTAGAAGAAAAATTAGCCATCAATTTGTAACAGATAATGGGTCTTTTGCTGCTATTCGTAATGATTTTCTTGAACATATTAACAATTATGTGCTCAACAGATTATACACGACCAACTGGTCTAAATTAAAACCATTGAAGTTTATAAATATGTCAGTGTCAGATTTGGAACTAAAAGAATGTCATTCATTAATATGTCCATATTATAGTTTAGTTGATTTTGTGACTTCATATAAAGAAGCATCTGGACATTCTGAAATTAAGATGAGCTTATTTCAACTAGTCTTCTCAAGATATTGATTAATTGTCCTAGTTGGGAGTCGTTAACTGTTTCAATGGTATGTATCTACTACCTATTTTAAACATAATAAAATAATATATAAACTTAGTCAATAAAAGACTGGTTAAATATATTGTAATAAGAATTTACTTCATTTTTATTTTTAGTTAAATAATTTTAGTTGTTGTAATTTTTAGGCCATTGTTCTTTCAATGAAACCTCACAGTGCGGATGTTGAGCGCTTAATTAGTTATTACAATATTATTAAAACTGCAGACCGTTCACAATTGTCCCCAGACACAATAAAAGATAGTCTCTATATTAAACTAAACATGCCAACATTGAGTAAATTCAACCCTCATAATGCAGTACTACAATGACTTAAGTAAAAAAAAAGGCATAATAATGTATATTATAATACCACTGACAAAATTTAATAAAAGTCATAGAAAACCAAATAATAATGTTTTGTATTTTGTTTGTTACAATTTTCAGGTTCATACTTATGCAACCAAACAAAAATGGTTTAGGGGAGTTTTTCCAGAAGCATCAGAAAAATCAACCAAGAGTTCTTAAACTCAAGCTTCATACACTTTTAAATTTATAATTTAAATATAATATATACCAATATACCATGATAAATAATAAAGAAAAAACTAAATGTTAGATTATATAGCAAATATAATATATTTTTCATAGTTTGTTAACTAAACATCATCCATAACTTATAGATAATGAATTGATCATAGTTAGTTTTTTCAAGGTCTATACAATTTTATTGTGATGTAGTCTGTACAGTATACTTTATAGATAAAGGAAAATAGAAGTTGACTACCCTATGTTTATGTGTATGAACTAAATACACTTTTGGGAGGTGGGGGAGGGGGCGAGCCCCCCCGCAAACTCCGAGTTCAATATAAAGTGTGTAGTACGAAAAAATATATATTTTAGCCTCTGCTGCATGTTGCTTATTAATAATTAGTACTTAATAGGTAGGTGCATAGGCAGAGATCTTGTGAAATATTGAGTGTGGCTCAAATATTTGATGAAAAACAGATCCGTGGGGGCGTTGCCCCCGCACCCCCAACAAACTAATTTTTACATTACATCACTCATAAAAAATTGTTATCGTTATCATAACAACTTAAATAATTACAAACATAAAAAAAAATAATTAATAAAATACAATCACCATTTTTAACTTAATTTTATTATTCTATTACATTTTTTGTTAAAAGTATTTAAAATAGCTTAATTGCTTAAAGATTTAGTCTTATCTTTTTCGATATATAATATTGAAAGTTCATTCAATTTTTTTTGATGTATAGATGTTCTTAGCCATGTTTTTATCTTCCTCATAGCAGAAAAACTCTCTCGCACGTAGCAGAGCTAATAGGTAGTGTTAAAGAAATTTGTATCATTTTATACGAATTAGGAAACACTAGAGGTGAAATATTCTTTTTAATATCTTCAATATCGCCTCTTTCAGATTCAACTAGATAGTTCTTTGCAACCATCATTTCCGACCTTCAACTTTGTTGGCAAATATTTAAACCCAATAAATACTAAAAAATAATTATTTTATTTATAATTTTTTATAATAAATTAGTACCTACCAGAATATTTATAAAATAATTAGATTTAAATTAATATTAAAAATACCTTATAATGATCAATAAACTGAGTACTCCCATCATAGTTTAGTTTTATAAATTCATCAACTCCAACAGCAAGGGACAAGTTTTATTTGGAAAACCGTTCTTTTTTAAATTTCCAATAATAGAGTCGATTACTTTAAAATATATATTTATTCTAAAATAATCTTCAGCTACAGTAGTTTCTACATCCATTGCTTCAGATGTTGCACCAGTAGTCGTGCTTACTAAAAACTGAACCAAATGACTAGGTTGTTGTCTTTTCCTTTTCGGCTCTAGTTAAAAGAAAACATAAGACATTTAAATTATAATGTTAGTGATTAAAATTAATACATTTTAGAACAAATTACCTTTCGCTTGAGATGGTATATCAATTGAAATACCGTGTACTTTGGCAAATGTTTGTATTGATGTCTACATACTAGAGAAACTTTCAGAAGTTCGAGAGTCTTCAAATGATTTTATCACACTGTAAATTAATTTAGCTGATTTTCCTAATGTGGCATTTTTATCTTGTAGCATATTGCTTAGTACATTAATGCAAGACAATACATAGGTCATAATGAATAAAACTACAACAAATTTTCCTTTTGTAATTGTTGCGAGTATTCCTAAAGAATAAAAATAATGATTTAAGTTATAAATAAATAATAATAAATATTATTATATAATTAAAAAAGCTATGTTCAACTAGCTATGTTACTTTAACAATTTTACACATATCCACAACAACTAAATTTATTCTATGAGTCATAAAGTGTGTAAAAGTGGCATGTGGAAATTTGGTCTTTATTTTTGATTGGACTCCATTAAATTTTCCAGACATCACATTCGCACCATCATACGACAGTGAAACTATTTGAGGGTTTTCACTTAATTTACATGTCTGCAGGTAATATAAAATGTGGTCACTTAAAGCTTGCGCATTCTGTTTCTCGGAACAGTCAATAAATCCAAGAAACCTTCCTTGAATATCCAAATCGTTTACATATCGAATGCATAGACATCTGCTCGTCTTTATAGCAACTAAAAAATTGAAATTATGTCAAAATAAAAAAATAAAAATACAATATTGTACATTTTAATGATAAATAAAATCATTTTATTATTACATTATTATATTATGCATTTCTTACAGTGCTTCATCACACATTATACTGAATGTTCCTCTGCCAACTTCTTCTATAATTAAACCTGTAACACTATTTGCACATATATCAATAATTTCATCCTGTATATGGTGACTAGTGTAATTTGTAAATTTGTAAATATTTCAGAAAACTTGGGTATGTGCTTGGAGAATAAAACACAGGCTTCTTTAAAATTCTCTAAAAATAAAATAAACAGTTCAATACTAAATTGATAATATATTTTTTTCTTATTTTTTATACGATACCTTGATTTAATGAGGTTTTGTTTTCATCTTGTCCTCTAAAGGCCCATCCTTGGGCTGCTAAATATAGTGTTATATCAATAAGGCAGTTCATATACTCTCTATTAGCTGCTATTTCTAATTGATGCTGAGTTGTTAGCTGGGTATGAACAGTGCCAGTTTATTTAACAATTATATTATTATATCCTGACCATTTTGCAATACAAGTCAAGTGAGTCTTCGTACTAGCATGGGCGTCAAGCTTTGATTGTTTTCCATTTTTTGAATCTCTGGAAAAACATAACTATAGGTATCAAATAATTTAGATATTATTAATTATATTTTACATTTTACCTAGGGTACAATAAAAAGGTCAAACCTACAATAAAATACAGTATTTACTTTGGTAGCAAATAAAAAATACTGAGTAAAATTAGGTACCTATATGGCTATATGCAGAGAAGGGCATAATTTAAATACATTTTTTTCAGACGATTGTTAAAATAGCAAATTATTATTGAATTGCATTTTTCACAATTATTCGAATAAAAATGTATTTTAAGATATAATATATAGGTCATAGTTCTGAAACTGTAATGATTTTATTTTAAGTATTTTGAAATATTAATTGATTTTTAGTTCTCTAGTCTCCGGTCATATTTTATGAAATCTATTTACGTTCTTTTGGGGTATTTTCATTTACTTATTTAATAATTAATAAAACATAATTTTTTCCAATTTTCAAACCCAATGGTTGTGAATGTAGGTTCAGTTTGATTGTTTCCAAATATTCGACACGCATAACAAAATATGGCATCCTTATTAATACCTACTGTATTCGAGCCAATTGTTACTCTCATAATATTTAGAATTGAAGCCACGTTTTTGAATACCAAATTGTGTTAAAGGGAATTCCTAAAAATTATTTAATAAAATTAATAATAATAAAGTATAGATATTATCTATTATAGATACCTAGGTAGTAGGTAAATACTAAATTCATTAACTTTAGTTTTGGACTTTGGTCTTTTAAGACCTGGGGGTCTATTTTTGAACTTGATCGAAAATAACGAACGAATTACTCGTATACGAATCAATCGTTCACTGATTTTCGATCATTAATGATAAACCTTATTTTTGAATAATAATCTAATAAAGATGAACGAACGGTTAGTGTACGAATGTACACGTTGGTGTCACTGTTTTATCACAGCTGTTATTTTAAAAATACACGGATGGTTGAAAAATTCGTTTACATCTATGGAAAAAATTTTTACTTTTATTACTTTTATTAAATTAACATTAAATGTGCCCGGGATTATTGTTTTGTTTGCTATACGTGAATAATTAAAATAAATAAAAGTTTGAATTTCAATTTTTTTTTTCAATTTCATTTTAATGAGTAAAGTGACTGAAAAACTCCCAAAGGGCAAAAATATAAGCGAAGAGCAAAAAAAAAAATGGTTGAATGGGTCGTCAAACATCCACAGCTAAACACAAAAAAGTTTTCAGCTAATTTTACATTAAAAGATTCCCAACAGCTTTGGGAAAATGTGACCATTATTTTAAATTCGTGTGTTGGCGGCGTTGGCGCAACTAAAACATGGCAGTTTTGGAGAAAAGTAAAGAATACATTTTTTCAAATAATTATTACACAACATTTTTTTAATTATAAACTATTTATTTACTAGTGCTACAATGATATAAAGTGGTTGACTAAAGGCAAAGTCCCATCTAAGGCGTCATATAATAAAACTGGAGGTGGTGACAAACCGGACAGCGATTACCTTAGTGAAATAGAAAACACGGTTGTAAATATGATTGGTCCGACAGCAATTCACGGTCATGAAGGTATCATGGAAGCAGAGGCATCAATATTTTATTTAAACCACTGTACCGACGACACAATAAATTTGCCTTTAGAAGATAATGAGTTCGTATTTTGTAATTAGTATTTTGCAATATAGGGTATAACTATATTATAATATATTAGTCATCAACTAGACTAATATAATATCACGTGAATGAATAATAGTGGAGCATATAAATTGAGACATTTTCAAAATAAACTATGTTAGAATGAAATTATATTATTATTTAATTTATTTAAAAATTATAAACTCCGTTAACATAAATTTAATTACTCCACTGATACTCATTGTTCACTAACCATCTTTGCTTACTAATTAGTACCATTTAGTAGGTATATATATTTCTCTCTGTCACAATTTATTTATTTATTTTTAGATTATTTAATGAAATTCCGATCGTCACTGAAAAGAGTTCACCGATATTTGATATTAGCGTCGAAAAGAAAAAAAATAGGATAATTAAATGTATAATAGTTTAATAATTTAGCTAAAAATATAGAATTATATGCAGTTAATAAAAATAATAATAACAATAATAATAATAATAGGTAATAATACTATTTTACAATTATATAGGCTAGCTTGAAGCTTCGCTAGTTTTGGTTTTTTTTTACATAACAAATTTTAATACTTAAGATTAATTATCTTTTAGTAAGCATATTATATATAATACTTATTTAGTAAATAAAATGTGCATAATTTATATTAATATAAATTCTTTTAATAGTGAATTGAAGTCGAATAAACATCTATTTCCGAAATATTTTCATTATTTTCTGCTGGTGAACATGCCAAAACATTTTTTCCACTTGCGAGGCCCCCCGTTTTGAGCCAACTATCCATTATTATAAACTGAAATAAAATACATAAACGTTTAAATTTACTTAGTTTCGACAATCGTAAAGAAAGTCCCACAGTGTATAATTGACATTTCACAATATAACCAACTATTAAAATAAGTACTTTTTGTAACATAGCTTTGTAACTTTAAAGTGCATCAACTTCAAATCATTATGGAGTCAATAGCAACAGGTCAGTTACATAATGTTAATCCCATAATTATTTTAGTTTTTAGATTAGACGTGTAAATTACATTTAAACATAGTGAAATAATACTATGTCATTCTCTTATGATTTCATAATATTGATATAAAGATTAAGTTCACCTAGGATTCTTTCCGAGCTGTAATTTTTGCAAAATACCTATAATACCTAAAAAAGTAATCTATCATAACCACAAAAAAAATTTTGCACATATTTGCACTATTTAGTACAAGTGGCTTCAGAATGTGGAGTCACATAACAATTTCATACGAATATTTCATAGAATGATATTTTGTGTTATTGTTAATTCATTATTTTTTTCCCTGTAAAAATAATTATTTAATAAATGAATCTTGTTTCCTATTAAAATATGTGCAATTTAATAACCAATCATAAAAATAATAATTCTTTTAGGATCGGGCAGTACTGAAATTTTTTCTGACTAGTAAATTTTTGTATCAAAAATTGAACGAATCTGATCAAAGTAAATTGGATGATCAAGTTTTATTTTTAAAAAAATATTTAGAAAAACGAACCAACTGCCCAGAGTCTAAAAAATCAGAACTACATAAAAAGATATCATACTTCATTTCTGATTTAAAAAAAAAGTGGTCAAGTTCTTATAGAATTTTGGGATTCCCGAAAGGTGGTCCGCGGAACCAAGGGGTTCCGTGGAAGGGCCTCAAGGGTTCCGCGTACCGTCCAAAAATTAAACAAAACTTTCATAAAAAAGAATCACAACCGCGTCGCCGTTGTTCACACATTCGTTATGTGTTTCATTTCATGCTTCTACTAGTATTTCTAATCACACGTGCGGTGGTCCACGATAAAAATAGGCATGGATTTACCGAACTGATAAAACATCGCGGGAGTGGGGCAGCGCATGTAGCCGCTGCCAGCTCCATTCGAGTAAAGACCGCGATAAGACTACAGAAGTTAACGTAATTATACTAGTGAAAAAAGAAGTGGATTGCAGTGAGTTTTGTTTATATTGCGATTGTTTATATCTGGTATTTTTGATTTCACAGGTAATGATGTATTTGTTTATTCATAGAGATTTGTATGCACAATGTGCATAGGTAATTAAATAAGAGCGATTTATTAAAATGTTATTATTTTATTTAAGTTTATAATAATGGATAGTTGGCTCAAAACGGGGGGCCTCGCAAGTGGAAAAAATGTTTTGGCATGTTCACCAGCAGAAAATAATGAAAATATTTCGGAAATAGATGTTTCTAGTTTGTCAGTAAGAAATAAGAATATTAGCCTAGCGTCATAAAAGCCTTATTTATAAACCTATTATTTGTTTATTACATTTTTATTACTATATTTGTTGATTTTGTACAAAATTATAATTTATTTTCTTTATAAAATTGAAATGCCTGAGGGCGCAGGGGCACCTATGGCCAATTTTTTAAATTTATTTTGTTCTTTATTTAAATTTAAATAATTATAAATATAACAATAAGTATTGTCAATTAATTTCAGGATTTGGTAAATACTGGACAGGAACGACAAAATAAACTTGTTAGTGAAATTGTTTTACCTCAGGAGAGAACTACTTCTAAAAAAAGAAAATATAACTAATCGTATTTGTCCTTTGGGTTTATTCCTGTCGGAATGGCTGAGAATCCAGATGGACAATGCGTTATTTGCAACAAAATAATGTGTAATAGTTCATTTTTACCGGCAAAGCTAAGACGACACCTTGACACCAACCACCCAAAACTGAAAGATAAAAGCTTAAGCTTTTTTAAAAGACACAAAGAAGTACAAAAATATGGCGGGGCTGCTTTACACAAATATGCAAAAACAGATAATGAAAACGCAACAGAAGCATCATTCATGCTAAGTTACAGAATAGCTCGTGCTGGTAAGCCACACACAATTGTAGAGGATTTAATAAAACCATGTATGACAGAAATCGTCAGCTGCGTACTCGGTGAAGATGCAGCGAAGAAAATTACAGCAGTTCAGTGTTCTAATAACGTCATATCTGATCGAATTCATAAGATTTCATACCACATTCAAGATGAATTAATTTGTAGATTGAAGAACAGCAAGATGTTTGCAATATAATTAGACGAAAGTACAGATGTCGCCGGGCTATCAATATTGCTTGTTTTTGTGAGATACCCCTTCAAAGGATCTATTGAAGAGGATTTGTTTCTCTGTGCACCTTTAGAAACTAACACAACTGGAGAAGAAATTTTTAAAGTTATTGATAGTCACATGAGTAAGCACCATATTGAGTGGAACAAATGCATTGACGTGTGCAGTGACGGAGCAGCAGCTATGATCGGTAAAATAAAAGGCACTGTAACAAGAATCAAGAGTGTTGCACCTAAATGTAGTAGCAGTCACTGCGTTTTACATCGTCATGCTCTTGTCGCGATGAAAATATCATACGAGCTTAAGACAGTTCTCGATCAAGCTGTACAAATTGTGAATTACGTCAAATCACGTCCACTCCAGTCAAGGCTTTTTAAAAATGTGTGCGAAGATATAGGAAGTCAGCATCAATCACTTTTTCTTCACACACAAGTGAGATGCCTCTCAAGAGGAAGAGTTTTATTAAGGCTATTTGAATTGCGCAATGAGCTTAAGATATTCTTCACCAAACAACCCGGTTCTGCATCTCCTAACGCGTTTGTTGATTTATTGCATGATGAGGTATGGTTAATAAAATTGGCTTACTTGGCCGATATATTCAATAAACTTAACGTAATCTGTAAAGCCTTACAGGGAAAAACCACGAATATATTTACAGTAAATGACAAAATTTTTTCACTTGAAAACAAAATTGACTTCTGGATTGAATGTGTTGATCAACATAATTACGAATGTTTTACTATTTTAAATGACTTTCTGAAAGAAAATGAGTCGCAAGTAACTTCAGATGTGGAAAAAAATATACATGAGCATTTAATAAGCCTAAAAAAATCCTTGAAAGAGTATTTTCCGGAGAAGTTACAGGACATGAACTGGTTGCAGAATCCATTCGCAAATCATACCAAACCATCAATGCTTACTGTGTCAGAGTATGAGAATTTAATTGATATTTAATGTTCATCTTCTCTTAAACAAAAATTTGGAGCTGAAAATTTTGATCTAAATAATTTTTGGATTGGACTTCAAGATGAATATCCTACAATTGTTGAGAAAGCTATTACAATTCTGCTTCCGTTTGTGACGACTTACCGATGCGAGACTGGTTTTTCAGCTTACGCTTACACCAAAAACAAGTACAGAAATAGACTTGATGCAGCTCCAGATCTTCGCATTCAATTATCAGATATAAAGCATAATTTTAGTGATATTTTAAGAAAATATGTGAAAAAATTTCATTCTTCTCATTAAAATATTAAATTGATAAAAACAGGCACTTAGTTACATTGTATTTCTTTGTACAGTAAATGTTTTTTAATACATAAAATAATTGTTTTTCATTTATATTTGTTCTTTCTTTTCATATCAAACATAAAAATATAAAACTACCAGGTGATAATTTTATGTTATCAAACTAGGGTTCCGCAAAAAAAATGTATAATCGATTAGGGTTCCGTGGCAAAAAAAAATTGGGAACCGCTGTGACTTATAGGATGAGAAGATTTGAGACTAAAAACTCTGTTTGGTTAGAAACATCACTAGGTTTCCCAAATTATAAACTTTCTTCAAGTATTTCTGCAGTAGGTAGACCAAAAATAAGCTTTAATTTGGCATCAGAAAGAACTAAACGGATGAAAACTCAATATTTGAGGACTTCAACTTCTACCGATGAATTGTGTCATGCAGCACATATGAGTTTGAGTGCATCAGGTAAAACAGATACGGCAAATTTGGTAAAAGAAGTTACCAGTACAAAGCCTAAACGCGCTAATCGTTATAAAATGGCTTTTAACAAATGGGATACGTCCAAACGCATTGAGTTGTCACCAGAAGAAGCATTATCTATGTTTGTAGAAGCTGAACTTACGAAGCATCAATATAATATCATAAGAAACAAAGATAAAGAACGATTCCCATCATATAAAAAAATTCAACTAGCCAAAAAAAAATGTTACCCAAAAAAGAAATATATTTCAATTACTGATTCTACAGTTGATATAAAACTGCAAGGATTATTAGATCACACAATTTTACGCCTTATGAAAACTCAACATGAAGTTATTGAAAGACAAGAACATTTGCAAAAATTGTGTTTAATTACTAAGTGGGGGTTCGACGGATCGTCTAGTCATTCAGAATATAAACAAAAGTTTGTTAACAGTTCCACTAATGATGCAAGTATTTTTTTGTCTTCGCTGGTAACTCTAAGGCTCATATCTGGTGATCCTCATTTACCAACACAGCAACAAATTGTTCTTTGGAATAATTTGAGGTCTTCATCAACAAGATATTGCCGTCCTATTAGATTTCAATTTGCTCATGAGACAACGGACCTTGCTAAAAAAGAGAAAGAATATATAGAAAGCCAAATACGTGAATTAGTACCCACGTTATACGTAATAGATGGCCGAAGAATTGAAATTAACCACAAATTATTATCTACAGTGGTTGACGGTAAAATATGCAATTCATTGACAGAAACAACTTCAACCATGAGATGTTTTTTATGTAATTTAACATCGAAAGACTTCAATAATATTGAAGTGCAAAGCAGCAAAAATAGTATGCGAGTCTGCATTAGAATTAGGTATGTCAACACCACACGCTTGGATACGTTTCTTCGAATGTCTATTACACTTAGCATATAAATTACCATTAAAAACATGGCAAGCTCGTGGCGAAGAAAACAAAAAACTTTAAGAAACCACCAAAAAAGTAATAAGGGAAAAATTTAAAAATCAACTTGGATTAATAGTTGATAAACCGAAACCTGGGTATGGAAACAGTAATGATGGCAATACGGCTAGACGTTTTTTCGAAAATGCAGATGTATCAAGCAGTATTACTGGAGTAGATGTAGAAATAATCAAAAGATTTCGAACTATTTTGAAAACTATTGCTAGCGGATATACAATAAATCTAAAACTGAAGAATATGCTCTAAAAACGGCACAATTATTTGTAGAAAAATATCCCTGGTAGAATATGTCACCTACTATACATAAAGTATTAATTCATGGACCAACTATAATAGATAAAGCAATACTGCCTATTGGGCAGTTAGGTGAGGAAGCCCAGGAGGCAAACAACAAAATGTTTAAAAGGTACAGAGAAGGATTCACACGTAAATTTTCTCGTGTAACTAACTAACGAAGACATAGTTAATAGGTTGTAAATTTCGTCTGATCCACTTATCAGTAGTATGCACCAACCTATGAAGCGGAAATCCACCTTAGAATCAACTGTAATCCAGTTATTACAATCACCAGATATCAATGAATCGGATTCATCTTCTTCGTTAATCAGTGAAAATGAATTAATTTAAATATTTGTTTTTATTATTTACGATATCTTTTTTAATATATGTACATACTTGGTAGTATATTGTTATTGTAACCTACACGATTATGCGAACACAAGTTTGAAGTATATTTATTTGTAACGTATTATAAACTAAAAAAATTACAAAAATAATTTTTGCCAACTTTTCATGTCACTGGCCCTTCTGTGCGACGCCTTGGTCCACTCCGTCCCCAATTTATAATATATTATTTTTAATTTATGTACAATACACTTGGTAATTAAGAAATTGTATCAAAAATATTATTATTTGAAAGGAAGAAAATTATCCCCCAGTCACCACACGCGCAACAATATTTGCTTTGATAACACATGCGTCACTAAAGGTTAATAGTATAAGTATTAAGTATTGTCGTGTCACGCGTTGTTATAATAATACCTAATAATAATAATAATAATAATAAAAAGGTGGGCAAGTGGGTTTCACTCTGCTGTACAGTAGGTTACAAGTGGGTCACTGTATAATGGATGGTATTAAATTTGAATTCAATGATATAATATCATTGTATAAGAAAAACGAATCTGAGCGGTGACGGTATGTCAGTCTATGTAAAAGACATATTATATACATATCTATGGTATTAAACAAAAAATTTACCTATAATAGGTACCTATAATAAATTCCAAATTAATCATATCACAATATCCATTAGATACTTATAACGCGTTATACATCAACAAAAACCGTGATACTATCATAGATATATAATAGTACACTTTAGAAGTTTCAAGTACCCACGAATAATATTATTCAATCACAACAAAATACCTAAAATCGTAATTCTTGGTTTAAATATGAAATTTTGTCTAAATTTGAAATTAAAATGTCTGTAAAAAATAAGTGTGTTTATATATTTTTTAGATTTTTTGGTTACAGTATGAATTATTTAAGAGAATCTTTGTTTTAAATTTTCAACTCTTAGTTATAAAAACTGAACATTTTATAATTTTTTTATTCCAACGATTGATAATTTTCGAGATTTTGATAAATTTTGTCAAAATTCCAACTTTAAATGCTTATAAAAAAAAATCGTGAATATGTATTTTTAATATTTCTCAACTGCTATTGTAACAATATATCAGGAGCCTTGTATTAAATTTTTACACTTTTTGGCCCAACAGATAAAACTTAATTGATATTCATAGAAAAAAAAACTAAAGAACATTGAAAGCTGTAAATGTCCATAAACAGCTCAAAAAGAGTCAAAATATTTTCAAAATTGTATGGTGTATAGAAAATGCTAATTTAAACATTCAGTGACATTTTCATGTATCTATAGTTGTTCGTTTTTGAATTGCAACAAAATAAAGAAATCGCTACATGAGTAATCGAGTGAATATCCAATGTTGTAAAAATTTGAATTTCAAACGCTCATAAAAATTTAATTTGACTGTCCGGTAGAGATTTTTTTATTGATAAAGGTAGATAATCTTATAAGGAATCTTGTGTTTCATTTTCAAATCTTAGATTTAAAAATAAAAATTTTTACGAATTCTTAACTCAAAATAATTTGCTAATTTTCGTGATTTTTCCATATTTTGTCAATTTTTGAACTTTAATTGCTTACAAAAAAAAATTGTGACTAAGGATTTTTAATATTTTTCATCTGCCTTTGAAACAATATATTAGGAGCCTTCTATTAAATTTTCAAGCTTTTGCAACCAACAAATAAAATTTTATTGATATTTTTAGAAAAAAAACTAAAAAAAAATGGAAAATGAAAATGTCCCTAAACAGTTCAAAATAAATCAAAATATTTTGAAAATGTTATCGTGTATAGAAAATGCAAATATAAACAACCAGTGAAAATTTCATGTATATACGTTCATTTGTTTTAGAGTTACACCAATAACCAAAATCGATTTTTTGGAAAACCAATTTTGCGTAAAAATTCCCGTTTTTCCTTAATTTTTATGTTGTTTTTCCCGGCGCTTGTAAAAACTACTAGGAAAGTACCCCCCAAGTACCAACTAGATTCACTTTCCTATCAGAAAAGCTACTGATGAAGAAAATCCTAGCACTTTTACTGTCCTAAAACTTGATTACAGACACAAAAATAAAAAAATATAA